TAGAAATTATTCTATCGTCTTGGTCATCACCATCATCCTCACCATCATCATCATCACTATCATCATCACCATCATCATCACCATCATCATTACCATCATCATCATCATCATCATCTGCGTCACCATCATAACTCAATCCTAACGTTTTGGTTGAAAGTTTCATCTATTTCCGATTTAAATATGACGTCATATCCGTCAATGAAGCACGTGATTACTTGATTGGCGTCCCTGTGATTGCTCAGGTTTATTCTGGAAAGATAAATTTTCTTTTTTGACTTTTTAAACTTCCTTCAATCAATCAATCTATCTATCAATCAATTAATCAATCAATCAACCAACCAACCAACCAACCAAACAATTATACAACTACTAATTTACCCAGCTAACCAATCATTAAATAAAATTACTGACCAATCAGCCAGACAGCCAGCCACTATACCAATCATCCGATCAGTTGATCAATCAGTTCATCAATCAATCGTGCAATCATGCGAGTGACCAATCAATCAACTTCTAATTTACTCAACCAACCAACCAACAATCACCTGAATATACAAGATCCAAAGGCCATTCCCAGAGATTTGGAATTCATCTTGTTAACGCTGTGCTGTTGAGCCACATCTGCAAGGAGGTGCGTTACATACTTGAGAGAGTTGTAGTAAGCCAGGGGCAGATTTTGACAGAGTTTTTGAAATGTCAAGAAGAGTTTTTTGGTACTGCTATTGCTCTGATCTGAATTGTATGCTGGTGGGGTTGACGATGACGTAGCTTTAATGACGCTGTTAATGTTGACAAAATAATTAACTACGGTTCGCATAAAAAACTTCACCAATACAACCACATATATACACCCACACAAACAAACAAACACATACACACACACACACACACACACACACACATACATACACACACACACATAAAACACTAACAATAGGCAAATCTAAGAAAATCGCCAGTCATGCATGTTGGAATCAGTGACTCTGGAAGTTCTTTGAGGTAAAGTTTCAGAAGATTGCCGACGATGTGTGGGTCCAAGTCCGGTTTTAATGTCGTATCCCAAGTGAAATTAATCCGGGATTTCAGGGCTTCCAACGCTTTGGTGTTTGCTGAATACCGGAAGATTCGTATGACTTTGAGACCTGAATGATGTTTTTGGTTGGTTGGTTGATTGGTTGGTTGGTTGGTTGGTTGGTTGGTTGGTTGGTTGGTTGGTTGGCTGGTTGGTTGGTTGGCTGGCTGGTTGGTTGGTTGGTTGGTTTGTGATGCTTCAAATTCAGAACAAGCCATCTATATAAATCAATGAACTGAATTATTTATTATTAACGTTAAAAAAAACAACTAAATTTTTGCAAAAGACAAAATTCTTTAGAAAAACTGTAACAATAATTATTTTTCATTTCATAGATGGCAAACCTTTCTGTAAAATGAACTTGGCTATGTTTGTGACTAGTGACGGGACAATAACATCTTCGACTTCTATGACATTCTCCAAACGTTCGCCAAAATATTTTCTACTTTTGGCTTTATTTTTTGGTGAAGCACAGGTTGAAGGCTGTACTCGGCTGGGATTGCTGGCCTTTGTGGCCAGTGTGTTGAGAGAAGCATGCTTCTGAATTCTTTGTGGCCTGCTGTCGCCTGCAATCGCTTGTTTGTTGCTTCTGTTGAAGTTTTCATCGCTGGGGTGGTTGTGATCGGTTTGAGTGGTGTCGTCGGCGTTTGGGAGGGTTTTGCGGTTGACGCAGAAGTTTTTGATGTCTTTGGTGTCGTAGTTGATTACGTCATTGCTGGGTGATTTTGAAATTTTTGTGTTTTTGTGAACTGGTAAAGACTGGCTCGATGACGTTTCCATCACGTCTTCCATAACTTCCTAGTAACTCTTGTTTTGTTATTGTTGTTTGTAGATTATACTAACAAAATATCGCACACCTACACACACACACGCACACACACACGCACGTACACGCACGTACACGCACACATTTGAAGCTATAATGGTTAAACGTTGTTGAAGTTGTTGATGCCACTGAGAAACGTTTAAGAAAAAATTAAAAATAATTATACCAACAATTATAATTATAATAATATTTATTATTATTATTATTATTATTATTAATTATTCATTTACTTTCATTTTACCACACCATGTGTTGAAAATGTTGTTGATTGGATGATTTTATTATTATTATTGTTATTAAATAGACATGCTGGTCTTGCTGTTTTAAGCAAGCTGACTCTATTGACTATTATTATCACTAGCGAAATCACATTATAATAATAAAGATAATAATTTAATAATAATAATAATAATAACACTTAAAATAATAACAATATTTGAAAAAGTAGTAAAGTCTAAATCTCGTTATAAGGTGTTAATGGGGGTGTTTAGAATGGTTTTAGAATCTGAAAAAAAATGTTAAATAAAACAGAAATTAATTTTTAAAATTCGACTTTGTTGTTTTATTGTTGTTATTATTGCCGTGACGTCGCAGATTTAAATAATTTAAAAGTTAACTTAGAAATAAATGACATTTTTAAAGAGTTTACGAATGTGATCTTTTTTTTAATTTTAATGAAGACATATTTTTTTTTTAATTTTCCAAGACCATATACATCGCATATCATTTAAAGAATTAATAATCAGTTTGCTGTAATGTAAAGTATAACTAAAATAATAATAACAACAATAATATGAAAATAATCATACCTTGTTTGTAGCTAAAACGCGTTCTTAGCTAACTGGCACTTTTGAAATTTGACCGCACTAGCAGTAGTTAATTAGTTAATTAATTAATACCCTCAATAATTAATTCAGTTATCAATAGAAAATAATTAAATAATATATTTCTGTTTCTTTAAACTTCTAATTAATTTTTCTAATTAGAAAGAAAAATTCCAAAAAATGTTTCGCAGGAAAAAACCGTTAGAACTCTGGCATAAATATTTCATATTTGGCCTCATGCTCTTTACCTGTAGTTTATTTATATTATTTTATAATTATTTTTAATGAATTTTATATAAAAACCTTATAATTTTCACATCATTAAACAAATTCAGTCCTTTTTCAATCATTCTTTCATATTTTTGCACAGTTATAATGAAAATTAACCACCATTATTTCTATCATACTACCCAAATTAAAATCGCTACAATAAACATAACACACACACATACACACACACACATACACACACACACATACACACACACACAGTCAGCATGTACATGACTTATAAAGAATTCATCGTTGCACTGGAGAAGCACAAGAAAACTCACGAAAAAAAAATTTTCGAAGCCACCAAAACCGTGCTGACTCCGAAACAGATAAAAAATTTACTTAACGAGGAACTTGACGAGGAAATACTGAATGACGAACACTTAGAAACATCAAGACATCAAAGATTCAAGCGATCAGTTCCCCATTACCGCAAATTAGACCCTCTCGACATGAAGTTTTTAGAGTTGATTGACTCCGTCAAAATGCAAAATTTGAAAGCCAAAAAGATTAAGAGACATTTGCTAGAATCACTGGAGCATAATTTTGATAAGATCACATCGAAAAGTAGGCCGTTATGCTGCTTTGTTTGAGATAATTTTTCAGGTTTCTTAAAAATCAAATTGTTTTTCACTACGGTATATTCAAAATTTAGGATATTTATGAGAAAAATAGTGTGTTTTTGTTTGATTTTAATACAAATATTATTTCTCCAATTCAGAAATTTCCCCAAAAAGATTCAAGCGCGAAATGGCAACGTCTGTCGATCAGCTCCTAACCCTTATTAAAAAGGCCAAGTATGTTCTGAATATAGTTTTCAATTATAATTACTAATAACAATTAATATTATTATAAATAATAATAATAATTATTATTATAGTTAGTAGCAATTATTATTATTAAATAATAATTATTTATAATTAATTTTTCCAGTTCTACCACTAATGACGAACTCGAAACCAAACCTACCACAATAAATAGCGTTAAACTTCGGAAAGTCAAGTTTGGCGAGAACTTAATGAAATTCAATTCTCTTAGAAATGTAACAAATCTATTTAATCCGAAATCTCAGCAACAGCCTCAGCAGCAGCCTCAGCAACAGCCTCAGCAACAGCCTCAGCAGCAGCCTAGACAGCATCAGAATCATCATCTTCGTCATCATCGTCGTCATCGAAATCGCACCGACAAAAAATTGAGACGAAAGAAGTTATCTGGCGACGATGATGATGGTGATAAAGATTTCATCATTGACGATGACGACGTTAATGATGACACGAGTAATGATCACATTGGTGATAATGATAATGATGAGAATGACAAAATCAAAACAAAATCTAAAAGTTCTGGGTTTTCCAAAGAGAAAATGGGCAAATTGGGTAAGAAAAAGCTGAGAAACAAAAGAGCCGTACATAAGGTAGTTAAGTAACTTTATATATTTTCTGTTTTTAAATTTTAATACTAACTTTACAAATAATAATAAAATATTTTTCATTTGAGTTGGCTGGTGAAAGTTTGTAGAACGCACGTACAAATTTAATCGTCATTTCTGAAGTTACGCCACGAATTAAAGATATTGCCTAATTATCTAACTTGTGTAGTCTTCAGCATATACTACCTGTATTTCATTGGGATTCGGGAGTCTGCTTGCATTCGAAACCCAGCGGCACTGAAATAACATTTAATATTTTAGAGATGATATTTAAAGATTTAAAAATAAAGACAATTTGAAACTGAAATTTTGAATAAATTTCGCTTAAATCTTGACCAGGAACTGACGGATGAAGTCATTCGCTCGGCAGGATTCCAGCTCACAAAAGACTTCTTGATGGCCGGTCCTTCGAAAGAGATTTTCATAGATAAGAAGATTATTGTCTGGACTGTCTTTGCGTTCATTCAATACGGCCTTTGCATTCTTTGCTGTTGGATCGGGATATGCAAGTCAATCTGTAAGATGTGTAGCAGGTTGGTTGGTTGATTGGTTGGTTGGACGGTTGAATGATTGAATTTGGCTGCGTTATTTATAATAATTGTCAATCAGCAACAACAAAACCACCAACATCAACAACAACAACATCGTCAGAATGTTCGCCATATCGGCATGTTCAACATCCTGTTGTTTCAACTTAGTCAGTCTCAAGCCAAGAGATTCATGTAAGTCGAAGAGCGGAAAAGAAAACTAAATGATGATGTTGTTGTTGTTGTTGCTGCTGCTGCCACTGCTGCCACTGCTGCTGTTGATGATGATGATAGTAGTAGTAATGATGATGAGTAGGATGATGATAGTTATTAATGATGACGATGATAAAATAATTTACAATTTACGGATTGCTTTACACTTTGTATTTGTTCTTTGCTACTGATTCGTTGATTCACGATTGATTGAGCGATTGATTGATGGATAGATCGTTTGATTGATTGAACGAATGATTGATTGAATGATTGATTAATTGATTGATTGAATGATTGTTTAATTGATTGATTGATTGAATGATTGATTGAATGAATGATTGATTGAATGATTGTTTAACTGATTGATTGATTAATTTATTGTTTGACTGACATGTTACCTTAAAACGAATTCGTTCAATAAAAACTGATCAGCTTACTTATTTCATTTCGTTTACGTCGACAAGTTATCACAAAAATGAAAATAATAATTTAATTATAATATTATTATTATTATTATTATTATATTATTTATAATAATTATAGCAAAAATTATATTTTCAAAAAAGTTACCGATAGATGTCAGTTGGGTTTTAAAAATTCTCTACACATAACTACAAACAATTTAATCATTAAAAATCTCATAAACCTAATTATCTAAAAAGCTAATTATCTAATCTACCAACCAATCAATCGATCGATCAATCAATCATTCAATCAGCAAATCGATCGACCAATCAATCAACAACCAAACCAACCAATCAAAATTTAGTTGCTGAACTAGCGGTGAAATTTTACGAGTTTTTCGATATCGAGGTTGAAGATAAGCCGGACAAATATGGCGATACTTTTAAAAAGTTACTTCCTGGAGATTTCCCGCCAATTATGGGGAAAACCCTGCTGACGCAATTGGAGCCTTACAAAAACAGCAATTACGCAATAGCACAGAGTTACTCGAAGGTTTGTTTGTTCGTTCGTTCGTTCGTTCGTTTGTCTGGATGTATAATGTTTTCATGGATGTTTGTTGGTTGGTTGCCTGTATTTTTGTTTGTTTTTATGGTCGTTTGTTTGTCCTGCGTGAATGTTTGTATGTCTGTTTTTCATGTCTGTATGTCTGTATGTCATTTTTATGTCTGTTTTTCATTTCTACTATACATATCCGTTGCATATTTATGATGAAAAATAACACGACCCCTCCATTGTCCCAGATATCTGAAGAGGTGCAAGACCAGATGGAGGAGAAGATGGAGGAGGAGATGGAGGCGAAGGGCATCGGGAAAGGTCAGCGAGCCGCCTACCAGCAGCAGATGAAAGACATGGAAGCTCTCGGAAAGGCGTTCGAGGATACTACGACGCAAGTGATGGAGGAGGCCGATTACGACATCCAGGTTGGCGAAGACTTCTACGATGATTTCTACGAGAAAAAGTTCGGCCATTTTTACGGAGAGAGTGAGGAAGACGCTTTAAAGGAGATCAAAGAAAGGGAAAAGGATTGGGAACTTCCTCCACATAAACGTCAGAGGCGGCAGATCGAAAGAGGCAAACAGCGTCAGCAAGAACTAATGGCCCAAGAAGCAGCGGCTAGAGCTACTCAAGCAGCTACGGACCCGGCGCCAGTTCACAATCAACAGATGTACCAACAACCATACCCAATGGCTCCCATGTATCCAGGATATCCTCCTCCCTATTCTCCACAATAACAAGCAGCATCCATCTTTGCTAACGTTTCAGAAAAGTGTGGAATATTCATTTATTTGGCCATCAGCGTTTGTCATATTTGCCAGTTAAGAGGATTATCTAAATTTCAAAGTGCTCTTCTACGCACTGTGCGACAGATGTATGTATCTGTGTGTATGCACGTGTGTGTGTGTCTGTGTGTATGTTTGTGTGTACGTATGTGTGAGTGAATGTGTGTACGTGTGTGCATGTGTGAATATACATATGTGTATGTGTATGAT